TACCTACTAATAAAATTTCAGAACATAGCCTTGCAAAAAAAAAAAAAATTTTTTTTTTTTTTTTTTTTTTTTTTTTTTTTTTGAGACAGGATCTAGCACTGTCGCCCAGGCTAGAGTACAGTAGCTCAATCTAGGCTTACTGCAACCTCCACCTCCCGGGTTCAAGCGATCCTCCTGCCTCAGCCTCCCGAGTAGCTAGGATTACAGGCGGGCCACCATGCCTGCCTAATTAAGAAAAAACTTTTAGTAGAGACGGGGTTTTACCGTGTTGTATTGGGCAGGGTGGTCTCGAACCCCTAGCCTCAAGTGATTCGCCCGCCTCGGCCTCCCAAAGTGCTGGGAATAAGGGCATGAGCAACCGCGCCTGGCTATAAATTTTTATTTTTTTGTTTGAGACGGAATTTCGCTCTTGTTGCCCAGGCTGGAGTGTAATGACGCCATGTCGGCTCACAGCAACCTCCCCCTCCCTGGTTCAAGCGATTCTCCTGACTCAGCCTCCCGACTAGCTGGAATTGCAGGCATGCACCACCATGCCCAGATAATTTTGTGTTTTAAGTAGAGACGAGGTTTCCCCATGTGGTCAGGCTGGTCTCAGACTCACAACCTCAGGTGATCTGCCCGCCTCGGCCTCCCAAAGTGCTGGGATTACAGGCGTGAGCCACCGCGCTTGGCCCTGTAAAATCCTAATGAACAAAATCATTCACCAAAAAAAAAAAAAAAAAAAAAAAAAGTAAGGGCATGGTCTCTTCACAAAGATAGTCAAAGGATGTGATCTGATGTGTTAGATTTTCTCTTTCCTGTTCAATATGGGGTTTTGCATCTTAGTTTGTTTGGGCCACTGTAACGAAATATACTAAACTAGGTGACTAACAAGTAACAGGAATTTACTTCTTACAGTTCTAAAGGCTAGGAAGTCTAAGATCAAGGAGACACCATATTCTAGGTCTAATGAGGCTCACTCTCTGCTTCATAGATAGCGTCTTCTTGCAACTTCATATGGTATAGGGGGTGAACAAGCTCCCTCTTTTATAGGGGTACTAATCCCATTCATGAGGATAACATCTTTATGACCTATTCACCTCCCAAAGGCCCCACATCTTCATACCACCACATTGGGGATTATGCTTCAACATAACTCTTTGTTTTTTTTGTTTTTGTTTTCAACATAAATATTTAGAGGTAACCATTCAGATCATAGTGGTACCAGTATCCAAAACTGCCACCAAATAGTTTGTTCTAAGTTAATATAATTGCAGAGAATCACTTGAAAAGGGTTTGTCCAATATCAGACACTGTTGAATATCCCATAGATACATATCCATTCAGTGTGCAATTTTGATTCATTAGCTTATTTAGTTATATGTTATGATGGTAACAATGCTCTATTTGGGCTGGGCACGGTGGCTTACACCTGTAATCCCAGCACTTTGGGAGGCTGAGGCAGGCAGATCACCTGAGGTCAGGAGTTCAAGACCAGCCTGGCCAACATGACGAAACCCTGTCTCTACTAAAAGTACAAAAATTAACTGGGCATGGTGGCGCCTGCCTGTAATCCCAGCTACTCAGGAGGCTGAGGCAGGAGAATTGCTTGAACCCAGGAGGTGGAGCTTGCAGTGAGCCCAGATCACTCCATTGCACTCCAGCCCGGACAACAAGAGTGAGACTCCGTCTCAAAAAAACAGAACAAAAACACAACAACCACAAAAAACGATGCTCTATTTGACATTTCTCTTTTTAACTGGTGATAAATACTTGTAAGAGTCTAAAAGGTACTAATATAATTTCTTTTGCTTTTTGTCCCACATGGTCTGACCAACAAAGAAAACTATGACTGGATTAGCAAATAACTTTAGAGTCTGCTCATTTAAACAACATTTATATAAATAGTGTTAAATTGGCATCTGGAATTGTGTGTATAGTATTTCAGAATCTCACTTAGTAAGTCCTTATCAGGTTATATCTAGTTGTTTTATCTTGAAGTCCTCATTTTGAGAAGCCTGCCATGATACAGGAGGCCACTGGTGTAGCATAGTCACAGACTACTTGCCCAGGCCCATGGGTACTCCCTTCTGCCTACCCCTGACTTTAGCCACACCACAATATTTCTGCTATTTTGAAGGTGACACCCATTTTCTTATTGCCTAGAATGCTATTTGGCACTCTTCCCACTCCCACCCGTAATATTATTTATTCTGTGCTCCTTAGGCTTTTTATTCATATCTTTACTGTAGCATTTATCATCTTATAATGTGTGTTTTACTGATAATCAAATGAAGTGATTCTTTGCACTATTTTTTTTATGGGTGGACAATACATACATAGGATTCAAAATTCAAAGACCATAAAAAGGTTACAATGAAAAGATCATCCATCCATCCCATCCATCCCTGTCTCTAGGACATCCAACTTTCTCTTTCCTCAGAGGCCACCACTGTTAGCAATTTATCTAGTATCCTTCCAAAAATATTTTACATTTATACACACACACAAACACACACAAAATTCTACTGCACGTTATCCTGTATCTTGCTTTTTTTTTTGCATTTTACAGCAAATTTTGGAGATCATCCCATTATTAGTACCTGGAGAAGCCGTATAGTATACACTGGTTATGAGAAAAGAGAAAGACCTTCTTATATTGTTTTATATTGTTTCACACTCAGTACCTGATTTAAGAAAAAAACAAGGAAGTGAAACCAAAGACAGGCAGCCCGGCGCCAGGCCTAAAACAGGGCCTGGGTCTGTCTGGCCTAAACCTAATAGTTAAAAATCAACTCATAACTTACAAACCGATGTTATTCATAGATTCTAGACATTGTATAGAAGAACATTGTGAAACTCCTTGCCCTGTTCTGTTTCTCTCTAACTATCAGTGCATGAAACCCTTGTCACGTATCCCCTAGATTGCTCAATCAATCACGACCCTTTCATATGAAATCTTTAGTGTTGTGAGCCCTTAAAAGGGACAGAAATTGTGCACTCAGGGAGCTCAGATTTTAAGGCAGTAGCTTCCTGATGCTCCCAGCTGAATAAAGCCCTTCCTTCTACAACTCAGTGTCTGAGAGGTTTTGTCTGTGGCTGGTCCTGCTACAGTTATAAATAGGGATTCTGAAACCAGACTGGTTTTGAATCATGTTTTCACTACTTATCACCTGTTACCAACCTAAGTAACAAACGTAGAGGCTCTCTAAAGAAAAATATATTTATTTGGGAATAAAGCATTGTAATGGGAATCCATATGCTATAAAGTATATGTGTAGTCAGGGAGGTAAAGGAAGACAAAGGTTTTTAAAGAAAAAAACGAGGAGGGTTACAATAACAAGGGCGATGCCAGTTTAAAGTTGGGAAGGCAGTTGTTCGGCAAATGGTCTTGTAGAAGTATTTTTTTGTGTAAGGTTTTCATGGCCTGTGTTTATGGTTGTGGCTCTTACCGTCTTTTGTGATAGTTTTTGTTATTAGGCATACAAGCATGAGAACCTTCTTTTTACGGCCTCTCTTGGTTCTGTGTGTCAGGATTTTCTTAACGTTAGTGATTTCATTTTGATTGACAACTTTCCCATTGTACAATTTCACACTTTAGGCAATTTAGTCAAGCTCTCTGAACCCCCATTTTATGATCTGTAAAACAGGTATAAAAATAGTAATTTATCATAAAGTTGTTATGAAAGCTAAATGATTTAATGTATGTAGAGAGCTTTTTAGGACATTATCTGGCACATAATAAGCAGTAAATAATTACAAAAAGAGCCTTCTTATTTTTTACTAGATAGAATGAGGTACTGTAATTTATTGCTAATCAGTCAAATTGCTTCTAGTCTTACACTACAAACAGTACTGCTGAAAACCCCTGTATATGTTATTTTGCATATTTTCAAAAATAGTAAATTCCTAGGGGTGAAATTTCTGATGCAAAGATAGATTCATTTTAAAAATTTTGACAGGTATTACCAAATTTTCCTTTATGAAAGCACTACCAATTTGTGGGGCCACCAGCAATGATTGAGAATTAAGGTCTGGGAGACTTATTCAGGATTTCCCATACCTATAGCAGAATACTATGACTGGCCCATGGTGAATAGCAGATGCTTAAAAAATGTTAGTAAATTTGATGGTAAATAGTATACGAAAAACAGTTGGGTTTGGGTGACAGCAAGAAAAACTTTAAAAAATCTGCTTTGGCATCTTTTGCTAGCAGGTATTGACAATTAGGAGAAGGCAAGGTGCTAACTTTCACTGATCACTTTTTATTTATTTATTTATTTTTTTGAGACAAGACCTGGCTTTATTGCCCAGGCTAGAGTGCAGTGGTGCGGATCTCAGCTCACTGCAACCTCCAACTACCAGGCTCAAGCCCTCCTCCCACTTTAGCCCCCTAAGTAGCTGGGACAACAGGGGCGCGCCACCGCTCCTGGCTAATTTTTGTACTTTTTACAGAGCCGGGGTTTTGCTATGTTGCCGAGACTGGTTGCGAACTCCTGGGCTCAAGCGATCAGCACTCCTCCACCTCCCAAAGTGCTTGGTCTGCAGGCATAAGCCTACCGCACCCAGCCCTGTAGTTTCCAATTTAGTCTGAATGATTAAAAAGGCCAGCCTTGTTTCCCTAGTGCTGTTTTTGGCTTTTACCTTGGGTCTTTTGTGGGGCCTTAAAATCATGTCTGGTTGCGCAACTGTGGGAAGGCATTGGGTAAAGGGGGCGCCACCGCAGTTGCTGCGCCAACATCCAGGTATCCCAAACCCACCGCCTGGCCGGGCGGTGTCAAACGCTTCACTGGTCTCATCTTTTTAGAAACCCGTGGATACTCAAGGCATTTCCGGATAACGTGATCCCGGGTGCGCTTGACTTACACGGAACAAGCAAAACGCAAGACACTGCTAAGGACCTAGTTTATGCCCTCAAGGGCCAAAGTCAGACCCTCTATGGTGTTGGCAGCTATATGCACGTACCTCATGTATATTTCACTTGAAAAGGCTTTCAAAGAGCTTAATTAATTTAGCAGATGGACCAACAAAATGATTTATGATCCCTCGCCCCCAGCGTTCGGAAGAGCGAATCAGCTCTTCTTTAGATAATAGTGAGTGGCTCTGAAAAGAGCCTTTGGGTTTGACAAAGAGCTTGAGAATTTACTTGGAGCTGGTGTACTTGGTGACGGCCTTGGTGCCCTCCGACACCGCGTGCTTGGCTAGCTCCCCCGGAAGCAGCAGGCGCACGGCCGTCTGAATCTCCCTAGAGGTGATAGTAGAGCGCTTGTTGTAATGCGCCAGGCGGGAAGCCTCGCTCGCGATGCGCTCGAAGATGTCGTTGACGAAGGAGTTCATGATCCCCATGGCCTTAGAAGAGATGCCGGTGTCGGGGTGGACCTGCTTCAGCACCTTGTACACGTACACCGAGTAGCTCTCCTTGCGGCTGCGCTTGCGCTTCTTGCCATCCTTCTTCTGGGCCTTGGTCACCGCTTTCTTGGAGCCCTTCTTCGGGGCGGGAGCAGACTTGGCCGGCTCGGGCATGATGAAATAATACTGGTAAGAAGAAAACAAGAACTTGGTCTCCTCTTTTTATATAATAGTTTATGTGGACGAGGTAGGGGGGAAGGTCTCTGCTGATTGGTGGTTATCCTTGGATGACGTCAGATGCCAGTTTTGCCCAATCAAAATAGGTATCCTGCATAATTGAGTCCTATTGGTCTAAATAAAAATAAAACGTTAGCCAATCGAACAGCTTCCTTTTCGCGCCCAGTAGAGGCTATAAAAACTGCGTTTTTCTACTTTCGTCTGTCCTTTTTAACTGTATAGATACAGGCCTTTTGCCATGTCTGGGCGTGGTAAGCAGGGAGGCAAAGCTCGCGCCAAGGCCAAGACCCGCTCTTCTCGGGCCGGGCTTCAGTTTCCCGTGGGCCGAGTGCACCGCCTGCTCCGCAAAGGCAACTATGCCGAGCGGGTCGGGGCTGGGGCACCGGTGTACCTGGCTGCGGTGCTGGAGTACCTGACCGCCGAGATCCTGGAGCTGGCTGGCAACGCGGCCCGCGACAACAAGAAGACTCGCATCATCCCGCGTCACCTCCAGCTGGCCATCCGCAACGACGAGGAGCTCAACAAACTGCTGGGCAAAGTCACCATCGCACAGGGTGGTGTTCTGCCCAACATCCAGGCCGTGCTGCTGCCAAAGAAGACCGAGAGCCACCACAAGGCGAAGGGCAAGTAGAACGCTGGATTAGTTTGCAGCAACTCAATCCCAATGGAACCAAAGGCTCTTTTCAGAGCCACCTACAATTTTGTGGAAGAACTGAGCACTACTTTTAATATGATTTCTCGTCTTCGCCTACTAGTAAACCACTCCAAAGGTTAACGTACATCAGTCTTCGGTGACTTGGTTAGGTAGTGGCAATCTCATTAGCTTTTTAAAAAGCCTGGATAACGTTAAAAGTATTAAACCGCCTTCATCTTAAGCTTAACACAAGAAGATTTGGTTTTTCTTAATTTGGCATTATCCAAGTATATTATTCTATATGGTTCACTGTCGGGTTTTACTGACACTCAACCATTTTTAGATTGTTGGAAGCAAACATGACTGCTTTGGGGCCAAATGCATTCTTGGTCTTGGTAAATGACAAACCGAGCATTCGACGTTTAGTCTAAATCTAGATCAACGGCTTGGATTCTTTATTTCTGAGAAAGATCTCTCGAATCAGAATAATTAGATTGCACTTGAACATTAATGATTGAGTTGAGAGAATAATTTCTAATTAGATTAATTAGAACAGTTAATTATGGTGCCAGGTAGTTGTCTTTGAAGCATTTTCTGAAAATTCATTGAAATTAAAATTTCTCGAGCTTTCTCACCCCCAGCCACACAAATTGATTTCTTAGTAGAGAGATGACTATTAATTTGTTTCAGCATGGTAAATTCCATTTTTAAAATATCTGACTTGATGTTTTTAATCTGATTTAATAAATCAGATCTGGATGTACAAATGGAATAGATACTTAAGAGAAAATGAATTACGTTTCTAGAGTATTGGAAAAATAAGTTAAGCTGTAATGGAATTACTTTAATCTGAACGCGAAAAGCTCACATAAGGTTGTTTCTTTGACATTTTTAGGCCTTGAATTTCTCACATGTGAATCAGCTTTTCTTGGTTAAAAAAATACAAAAGTTTTTAAAATTTAAGTGATCAAAAAATAGACAATTGAGGGGAGAGGTGTATATGGCTGTCTTGTCCAGTATTGTAGCCACTAGTCAATTGTAGAGTGATCATTGGAAATTCCATAGCATGAATTTTATATAAAATACACATTGCATTTGGAAAAGTTAGTGCCAAAAAGTGTAAAATACCTAACAATTTTAATTTTGATAACATACTGAAATATGTTGGCTATTTTTGATTAAGCAAAATATTAAAAGTTAATTTTTTCTTGCTTTGTTATAATGTTGCTCCTAAATGTAAATTACTTATATTGCTCTCATTTATTTCCACTGGAAATCACTGGTATAGTGAACAACTCTAAAGCGAAAATAGAAAATAAAATATGGAGGCCATGAACTGCTAAGACTGTCAGAGGAATTGGTGGACAACAAAAATTTGAGTCCTTGGCCAATCCGCTTACTGTTGGGTAGGCCTTCAGCATACTTTTTGTCCAATCAGCTTTAGACTCTCACTATAAATAAGCGGCTAGCTTTCTCTTTGTCCTTAACCGAATCTAGTTCTGAAAGAATGGCGCGTACAAAGCAGACTGCTCGTAAGTCCACCGGCGGCAAGGCTCCGCGCAAGCAGCTGGCTACGAAGGCGGCTCGGAAGAGCGCTCCGGCCACTGGCGGCGTCAAGAAGCCCCATCGCTACCGGCCTGGTACAGTGGCTCTCCGCGAGATCCGCCGCTACCAGAAGTCCACCGAGCTGCTGATCAGAAAGTTGCCTTTTCAGCGTCTGGTGCGAGAGATCGCGCAGGACTTTAAGACCGACCTGCGCTTTCAGAGCTCGGCGGTGATGGCGCTGCAAGAGGCATGCGAGGCCTACCTGGTGGGGCTCTTTGAGGACACCAACCTGTGCGCCATCCACGCCAAGAGGGTGACTATCATGCCCAAGGATATCCAGCTCGCACGTCGTATCCGCGGCGAGAGGGCTTGAGTCTCAAGGACTCAGATTACCCAAAGGCTCTTTTCAGAGCCACCCACTTGCGCGCTGAAAAGATCTGTTTCTCTGAGGAATTCTTCCTGGTACTTGTTTCGCCTATAGCAGATAGGGTCCATTTCCAGACGTTATACAATCTGTTTTGTAAGGCTCAGCCTATCCCTGTTAAAATGTTAGTTTTGTAAATCTTAACATTTAATAATCTGGGAGCTTTCCGCAAGCATTGGGTGTAGCCAAAAGTTTCTTTGTGTGTTACCCGCCCATCTCCGCAGCCCGGTTTTGACCGTATGGTGGTTCTAATTTTCTGCCAACCTATACTGTAGTGTGTGTATATTCCTTGCCAACACGCCAAGAATAAAACTAAGGTTGAATTGAAGTTGGAAAAATTCAGGGTAATGTAGCTCATGCTGGCTAAAGGGAAAACATTCCCCTCTCCCGCCCCCCGTTTCCTAAGCAGTGTTGTTTTTGAAATTTTCAAGTCGAATTTTGGGCCTGCTTAAATCTCTTAAGTGTAGTTAATGACAGATGGTTTGGGGATTAAAAGTCGTCTGGAGAAAGCCCGCCAGAGAAAATTCCCTTTGAAGCCCCATATAAAAATATGTGTATGAGAGAAAGTGTTTTATCTGACTTCTGACAGTGGCTAAAACTTTGAACTGTCAGGAGTATCCAAAATTAACACTGCCTTGTAGGGAATTCTGTGGTAATTTTTTTGAGCACAGGATAAAATACTTGAGTCTTACTTAAATGTTACCTTCTCATTGAGGCTTTGTATGACTAAATAAAATCTGTATAATCCCCACCTAATTTTTTCACCCTAGGATTTGTCACTATATGCTGTACAATAGTTTGTTGATGTATTGCCTGTGTGTTCTAAAATACGGGCTCATGAGAGGAGGAACTTTTGTTTACTGGCATATCTCCAATAATATAGGAGCTTTTGATCAGTATTTGTTGGATAAATGAATGAATGCATGGCTATATAATAGTAAGGAAAGATAACCACATGGAAAATCTCAAATGAAAGAAATACATCAGCTTGCTAGATGTGCTGAAATCAGCTGCTTGTGGGCCATGAAAGCCCTTACCTCATCCATTCTTGTATTTAGAATGCTAGATTTCTATAACTTTTCTTCTGTGAGCTCTCTAGCATTCTTACAAGTATTCAAGACTTTCCCTGGCAAGTTGGCTTGTGTATGTGTGTTATCATCTCTGTCTCTCCTTAGCTTAGCTTGTGAAGGATGTAAGTGGAAAGATCATAGTATTTTTACACTGAGTTTTAAAAAGCAGTTTTAACTCTCTTGTTTCAGTTGGCTATTTATGTATCTTCAGTTATTAGAATTGGTTACATTCTTAATACACTTTTTTGGAAATTCAATATCAAGATCACTACTGCAACATTCACAATCTGCTCATCCACATCTTCTTGTATGTGGGTTCATGATTTCATTATTTCCACATATATGGAATTTAGAACGATAAGTAATTTATGATTAATATTTTACAAATTAAAATAATGCTTTAATACTTTTAATTGGAATCAACACCCTAAGCAAAACAAAATAGAGTGTTCCCCTCTCAGAAATTAGCTTTCTTCTGGAAAGGAAGATACACTATTTTGGAGAGAAGCAATGCCTCTGGGACACTTAAGTGGGGCCAACTGCTAAACCGATGGGTATTGTTGAGTGTGTAAGTAGTGAATTCCTTCTTTCTGTGCTGGGAAACTAACAGCTAGTAATAAATCAGGAAGGGCGCACTAATCAATACTCTTGCTGGCTGGGTAGGGCATCCTTTCCTGGAGATATGCAGCCAATATACTCCCAGTTAAATTTCCAGTTATGATTACATGAGGAATTATTTATTCAGGGGACGTGAGTAGTTCTAGTTATGTGGAAATGAATACTCTATGTCTTTTCAAAACACTCCATGCACTAAATTACAATAGTCTGGTAACCATCCAACTAAGCTCGTTTGTCAGGAGGTCGTGACCAGCCTGACCAACATGGTAAAACCCCGTCTTTACTAAAAATACAAAAAATTTAGCGAGGTGTGGTGGCATGTGCCTGTAGTCCCAGCTACTGGGAGGCTGAGGCAAGAGAATCGCTTGAACGCGGGAGGTGGAGGTTGCTATGAGCCGAGATCGCGCCACTGCAGTCCAGCCTGGGCGACATAGGGAGACTCCATCTCAAAAACGCAAAACAAACAAATAAAAAATAAATTTAAAAAAGGACATAATTCTTGTGTCTGAATTTCCTGAGATGGCAAAACTCATAAGTGGCATAACAATCCTTTTCAAGGCCCAAAATAAAAGGACCTTGACATGCCCATACAGTAATATGGACAACAGGCCGGGTGCGGTGGCTCATGCCTGTAATCCAAGCACTTTAGGAGGCCGAGGTGGGTGGATCGCTTGAGTCCAGGAGTTGAAAACCAGCCTGGGCAATGTGGCGAAACCCCATATCTCCAAAAAATAAAAAAATTAGTCGGGCGTGGTGGTGTGCGCCTGTAGTCCCAGATACTCAGGAGGCTGCGGTGGGAGAATCGCTTGTGCCCAGAAGTCGAAGGTTGCAATGAACCGAGATCGTATCACTGTCCTCCGGCCTGGGTGACAAAGCGAGACCCTGTCTTAAAAAAAAAAAAAAAGATAACATGAGGAACTGACCTCACTATTCTCAAAATAGCCTTTGGCTTTTCTCAGAAGAGATATTTTTTCTGAGTGTAGGTATTCACCCATTAGTGCTCTTGGAATCAACTTAAGTATTCAGAACCATCCTTACTGTCAGTCATCACCACCTTGGACTACTATGCTTGACCATCTACTTATCCGGCAGTTACTAAGTATTTAACTCACTTACTAATTGTAGCAGTGTTTACAGGATACGTTTGTAACATAACACTCAGGTACGAAAAGGTTAATTACATACAGAATTAAACAAAAATATCAGAGCACATACAATGAAGTTAACTATTATTTTTTAACATGTTATTTCAGCAGTACCCTAACATATGTACATGTAATTATTGGGTCACTACAGAATATGTGTATGTTTGAAAGACCCTTAATTGGAAGGCTTCTAAGGCCAATTTTCTTTTTGTATTCCAAACTCTTGTAAGTGCAAAAATTAAAAATAGAAAACAAAATAAAACATGACAAGTGTATACATTGGTAAACATAAAACTTCATGTTTTTGTTTAAACATACCCATCAAGTAGCTCCTTTCCTAGAGGCCAGGAAATAGGGCTGAGAACTCTACTGTTTCCAATCTAGAGACTATGAAACTCTAGAGAAATATGTCTAGTAGCAATCCATATACTTTTCCTAGTAAGCATATTAAAAACTGAGTACTATACTACATTCCTTACAGCCCAGTTTCCCAGAATCATAAATAAAATCCCACCAGTATCTACTATGTAACTCCCAGTAAGATGCTGATTTTTGTCAAAGTTGTGTCCCAGTAAAATGCCTTTAAGATACTACAAACTGGCCTGGGACACTGGCTCACGCCTGTTAATCCCAGCACTTTGGGAGGCCTACGCGGGTGGATTACCTGAGGTCATGTGTCTGAGACCAACCTGGCCACCAAGGCAAAACCCCTGAAAATAGATGTTAGCAAAGGTACCTTGTTAATACCTACATTAAGGACTTAAAAAATTTTTTTTAAATTCTGGCAACGTACACAGAGAGGTTAAAATTAAAACCGAAACGTCATGAGTGTGTTGTCGAGTGGTGAAGCAGCTGAAAACGGACTCGTGTCATCTTTTTATGATTATTAAAGTGGCTCTGAAAAGAGCCTTTGTTTCTATACGCTTTTCAACTCGGTCTTTACTTAGTCTTGTGGTGGCTCTCGGTCTTCTTTGGCAGCAGCACGGCCTGGATGTTGGGCAGAACACCACCCTGTGCGATGGTGACTTTGCCCAGCAGTTTGTTGAGCTCCTCGTCGTTGCGGATGGCCAGCTGGAGGTGACGCGGGATGATGCGAGTCTTCTTGTTGTCGCGGGCCGCGTTGCCAGCCAGCTCCAGGATCTCGGCGGTCAGGTACTCCAGCACCGCAGCCAGGTACACCGGTGCCCCAGCCCCGACCCGCTCGGCATAGTTGCCTTTGCGGAGCAGGCGGTGCACTCGGCCCACGGGAAACTGAAGCCCGGCCCGAGAAGAGCGGGTCTTGGCCTTGGCGCGAGCTTTGCCTCCCTGCTTACCACGCCCAGACATGGCAAAAGGCCTGTATCTATACAGTTAAAAAGGACAGACGAAAGTAGAAAAACGCAGTTTTTATAGCCTCTACTGGGCGCGAAAAGGAAGCTGCTCGATTGGCTAACGTTTTATTTTTATTTAGACCAATAGGACTCAATTATGCAGGATACCTATTTTGATTGGGCAAAACTGGCATCTGACGTCATCCAAGGATAACCACCAATAAGCAGTGACCTATTCTACTCCTAATTTGCATAATAACGTTTAAATAAAGAGGACAAAACAGCCCTAGGATTGTTGTCTTCCGTTTTTCACCATGCCTGAACCACTAAAATCTGCTCCAGCCTCTAAAAAGGGCTCCAAGAAGGCCATTAACAAGGCTCAGAAGAAGGATGGAAAGAAGCGGAAACGCAGCCGCAAGGAAAGCTACTCCGTGTACGTGTACAAGGTGCTGAAGCAAGTCCACCCCGACACCGGCATTTCCTCCAAGGCTATGGGGATTATGAACTCCTTTGTCAACGACATCTTCGAGCGTATCGCCGGAGAAGCGTCACGCCTGGCGCATTATAACAAGCGCTCGACCATCACTTCGAGGGAGATTCAGACGGCCGTGCGCCTACTGCTGCCTGGGGAGTTGGCCAAGCATGCCGTGTCGGAGGGCACCAAGGCCGTCACCAAGTATACCAGCTCCAAGTGAGCCCCTCGCTGCAGTTACAGGTCCGCTCTGACCCACACTCCAAAGGCTCTTTTCAGAGCCGTCCACGTTTCACAAGAAAGAGCCAGTTCGCTGTTAGCTTGTCTCCCCTTAGGTACCCTTTAGGACTCGCTTCGTACATATAAATGTACACATACATGTGTTTTTTTGTTTTTTTGTTTTTTTGTTTTTTGTTTTTTGAGGTGGAGTCTCACTCTGTTGCCCAGCCTGGAGTGCAATGGCACGATTTCGGTTCACTGAAATCTCCACCTTCCGGGTTCAAGCGATTCTTCTGCCTCAGGCTCCCGAATTGCTGGGACCACAGGCGTGTGGCACCATGCCTTGCTAATTTTTGTATTTCTAGTAGATAGGGAGTTTCGCCATGTTGGTCAGACAGGTCTCGAACTCCTGACCTTAGGTGATATACACTTGCCTCCTCCCAAGGTGTTGGGATCACAGGTGTCAGCCTCCGCGCCCAGCCCAAAATATTTTGGAGGATTATTAGCAAGTATGAGTGACCGTGGCTTAGGGAAGACAACCCCCCAAGACCATGAGAAAGTGGTTCTGAGGCAGTCAGAATGCAACTGTTTTATACATTTTAGGGAAGCAGAAGTTATAGGTAAAGTCATAAATCAATATGTGGAGGGTTAGACCAGGCGCGGTGGCTTACGCCTGTAATCCCAGCACTTTGGGAGTCCGAGGCGGGCGGACCACTTGAGATCAGGAGTTTGAGACCAGCCTGGCCAACATGGAGAAACCCCGTCTGTACCAAAAATACAAAAATTAGCCGGGCATGGTGGCACGTGCCTGTAATACCAGCTTCTCAGGAGGCTGAGGCAGGAGAATCGCTTGAACCCGCAGATGGGTTGCAGTGAGCCTAGCCGTGATTGTGCCACTGCACTGTAGCATGGGCAACAGAGCAAGCCTCTATCTCAAAATAAATAAATAAATAAATAAATAAATAAATAAATAAATAAATCAGGTAAATCAAAGAAAATGAACTGGAAAAAATAATTGCTCTTAATATTACTGTGAATACTTAGTGAGTGTTCTGTACATGTGTTATAATTAAATTGCCAGAAATATTCTAGTTATGCTTAAATCAATTTTTAAAATTGTGAGAAAACTCATACCTGTAAAGATTAAAAAGGCATCTGCACTGAGATTGCTTTTCCAGAGCCTTTGAATCCTCACACTTCTTTAAAGAAACCCAACCTGAAAAATATTTTCTAACACATGTGTGATTTATGCTAGGAATTTCCAATTTAGGATTCTATTCAATAAATTATCATAATGTTAGCAAAGAAATATAAATGTTAATGGAATAAGTAAGAATAATACGTTCAAAGAGTGAAGCATATTTACATAATTCCTAACTTTTACTTTTGGTTGTCTATTGAAACTGTAGAATCCAAAGGAAAACTTCCCCTTTGTCCTCTGAAGGTTTGGTGAAAAATCAACATACAAAAGGCAGATTAATAGGAGAAAAAGCATACACATTTATTAATGTGCATAGGGGAGAATCAGTGATTACTGCCTCCCCCTCCCCCCCATGCCCGAAGCAATAGAATAGAGATAATTACATACCCTTTTTCTTAGGGAAAAGGGAGATGGGTAACTGTGGATTATTTTAGAGGGTATTAAGTGATTTTTAGGGGAATTCAATAGACTTGAATAACATAACAGCCTAGGACAAAGTCTGTTTGGCCCACAGACCAGACAACGGTTTGTGACAAAGGTTTGTCTCAGTGTGTTGACAGACTTCAGTCTTCTTGCAATATGAGTTTTCAGTTAAGGAAGACTCAGAGAAGGGACCAGAGGTAATTGCTTTCTTCTTTAGCAGGTCTATACTTTAGAGAGCTAAGGGAATTTCAGAGAACAACTTCATTTTGTGATTTCAGATAGAGAAATGAGAGACAGGAATAGGAGGAAGTTCAGAAAGACCTTCAGGATTTTTCTTCAGTTCAGTATGTCAAAACTCCATATTTTGGGGAATCGGTTTCTGAGCCCCAACAATACAATCTCATTAGATGAAGCATCTATTCTTGATACATGAGTATCATGTTAGAAAAAAAGCTCAAAAGATTTTTTTAAAAAATTAGGCTGAGTGTGGTGGCTCATGCCTGTAAATCCCAGAAATTTGGAAGGTTGAGGCAGGTGGATTACTTGAGGTCAGAAGTTTGAGTTCAGCCGGGCTAATATGGTGAAACCTCATCTCTACAGAAATACAACGATTAGTAGAGTGTGGTGGCATGCTCCTGTAATCCCAGTTTCTTGGGAGGCTGAGGCAGAAGAATTGCTTGAATCCAGGAGGCAGAGGCTGCAGTGAGCTGGTATCACACCACTGCACTCCAGCCTGGCGACAGAGCAAGACTACACCTAAAAGAAAAAAAAAAGAAAAAAAGTAGGAAAATACTTTCCAGAAATCTTGGCAAAATTGTTTATTATTATTATTTTTGAGACAAGGTCTCACTCTGTTGCCCAGGCTGGAGTGCAGTGGCACAATCACCGCTCACTGCACCTTGGCTTCCCCAAGCCCAATCAATCCTCCCAACTCAGCCTCCTGGGTTGCTGGGACTACAGGCACAGGCCACCACGCCCAGCTAATGTTTGTATCTTTTTTGGTGGAGACAGTGTTTCACCATGTTGCTGCGGCTGTTTTCAAACTTCTGTGCTCAAGTGATCCTCTTTCCTCGGCCTTCCAAAATGTTGGGATTACAGGTGTGAGCCACTATGCCTTGCCCCATTTTTTTTTTTTTTTTTTTTTTTTTTTTTTGAGACGGAGTCTCCCTCTGTCGCCCACACTGGAGTGCAGTGGCGTGATCTCGGCTCACTGCTGCAAGCTCTGCCTCCCGGGTTCACGCCATTCTGCCTCAGCCTCACGAGTAGCTGGGACTACAGGCTCCCGCCACCACGCCCGCTAATTTTTTTGCATTTCTAGCAGAGACGAGGTTTCATCGTGTTAGCTAGGATGGTCTCAATCTCCCAACCTTGTGATCTGCCTGCCTCGGCCTCCCAAAGTACTGGGATTACAGGTGTGAGCCACTGCGCCCGGCCTGGATTCTCTTTTCCGGTAGAGATTAGCTTTTTCTGAGTGAAGGGTGGCGTGACACACCACCCCAAAATATACCACACTGACATAAAGACTATTTGAGTTGATGGCCACTGAGAAGAAGCAGATACAAGAAAACTCTGCCCTCTCCCTATTTGCCTAAAAGCAGGACATAAATGTGCAGAAGTGTCGCTTCTCCTCTCTCTACCAGAGAGGACAAAAAATAATCACCAGAGACGACTCGTCAGCCTAGAGAGGGCACCAGAGCAATCTGCATAACAACTTTACTAACCAGCCTTTATCTACCATTAGTTTACTATACATTTGCCTTCCCACCATTTGTTACTCCTACAGACTCAAAATCCTTTTCCTTTGTATTTTAATTTCTCTAAAAACTTATTGATCTTATTAAAGATGCTGTATATAAACTGGAGTTTTAAGTCACATTTTTAATTACTCATTTCTAGGTACTCCCACTTGTGACATGTGCTGTACACATGTTAATAAACTTGTTTGTTTTTTTCTTCTTAATGTGTCTTTTGTCACAAGAGCTCTAGCTGAGAACTCAGAAGTGTAGAGAGAAAATAATTTTTTCCTCCCACATGAGGCTTCCAGGAAAACCAGGTCTTCCTGACAAAATTAATGACATACTTTGACAAACTTTCTACTCTCTTAGTTATCTTCTTGATTTTCCAATGTTTTTCTTTCATATCTTAAATCTGATTTATGATATGAATGTATGTCTTGATTTTAACTGTATGTATAAACATATTCTCTTTATTGTTATTGTGATGATGTTCGAAGTGGGAAATGAAGAACACGCCTCAAAAAGAGTCTTCAGCCAGGCACGGTGGCTCATGCCTGTAATCCCCGCACTTTGGGAAGCTGAGGTGGGTGGATCACGAGGTCAGGAGTTTGAGACCAGCCTGACCAACATGGTGAAACCCTATCTCTACTAAAAATACAAAAAAATTAGCTAGGCCTGGTGGTACGCACCTGTAATCCCAGCTACTTAGGAGGTTGAGGCAGGAGAATCGCTTGCACCAGGGAGGCAGAGGTTGCAGTGAGCTGAGATCCAGCCATTGCACTCCAGCCTGGGCAACAGAGTGAGACTCCGTCTCAAAAAAAAAAAAAAGTCTTCATTTGATTATATTTTATTTTTATTTTAGCTATTAATATCTTCTAATAGCTGTTTTAGAAGTTATATCAAAACATAAAACTCTAACCCTTTATTCAAATATATTAGAAATGTAAATGACATAAGAATTGTTAAGTACTTTATTTGGACTAGTGCAAATAGCATAAATGTGAATTTAAATCTATACAAAAAGTTAAGTAATTGAATATCAGTAAAATATTAATCAATAAATAATAAATATAAATTATATATGTATGACTAGTGAGATCTTACTAAGCTAGTCTAGCCATTTTGCTCAATTATCTCCATTATTTCCTACAGCTTCCTGTGGAGTAACTCTTATTGTCTTTACTCTCATTATAAAGATGAGGAAATTAAGACTTAAACAGCAAAAGTGTCTGCAACGAAGTCACAATTTAAGTCTAGGTTTGTTCCATTGCAGAGGCTGAGTTCCTCACTATTCTCCAAAGTAAATATCTACATGAGAACACTGAAAAACAAAGAAATTACATTTTAAATTGTGTCAGGATTACAGTTTCTTTAGAGTTAAAAGAATTTCACAGTGTATCCATGCATGTAAAAAATATTAAATATATGAAAAGATGACTATTTCAATAGATAGATATCATAAAGTTAATAGGATAATCTTTGGACTGTGATTTATAGATATTTTTCAGTTTCCCTAATCTGAATTTCCTAAATTTTTAACTACGTACATGAATTGCTTTCTAATTATTTGGACACCAACTGATTTACTACAGTTCAATTCAGGCACTAATTATTTGGAGTTAGCTGGACCTCACCAGTTAAAGG